CCGCACATGATGTCATGGAAAGTCATATTTATATTTATATTTATATATGTATTTACTTATATTTATATTTATATTTATATGTATATTTATATATATATATATACACATAGGATCCTAGGGTTGAGACTTTCCGGAATCGCTACAGGAGCAATCCTCTTTGTCCCGATGTAGACCTCCGAAAAGAACGGGATCCTTACCATGAGGACACCTGGAAACGGAAGGTCCACATGATTTTAAGAACCCTAATATACTATAATATACTGTCATATACTATGACAATTATACTAGAACATACCATAATAAACCATGTTAGACTAGAGTATACTAACGTATACACCCCTTCATCCCCCTGCACCCGAAACCATCTTCCGCAAGCTGGGCCCACCACGTTGAAGCTTACCAGGTCAGGCTCGAGCCTTGTTGGGGGGGCACAACCGGGGGCTTCGTGTGCCTTCAGACTTCCAAGGGCTTGTGGCTTTTGGAGTTCGCGGTATAGGGTTTAGTACCTTGCTGCTGTAGAATTTCATCTATCAGGGTGTAGGGCGTTAGGGTCGTAGGGCTTCAGGTTTCCGCGATGTCTTTGTGCTGCATGGTCTAAGGCATCCCGTGCCGACTGTCCGGGCAACGACATCCTCGTCGGACCATAATCATGACCTTGCTGCTACTACTGCTGTTACCAGCACTGCTGTTCTTACTGCTTGACCTTACTGAGCCTTACTGCGATCATGGTACTATAGCAGTTCATTTACTATACTATACTATACTATACTGTACTGTACTGTACTGTACTGTACTATGCTATACTACACTATGCTATACTATACTACACTATGATATACTGAAATATACAACAATAGACTATGATATACTACAATACACTGCAATATACTATGTTACTAGGATAAACTTGAATGTTTCCGAATATACTATAACATACTACAGTATACTGTGGTATACTAGAAGACGCTACAGTATTTAACTTTACATACTATAACTTACTATACTCCAATACACGTATATATATATATACATGTATACTTCCACACTTTTCCCCAGCCCTCTCCCAAGATCGGCCTCCTGGCCGTGGCTGTGTGGCGAAGCAGGCGCAGGGCCTCTGAGACCCGCGAGCGCAGTCTTGGGCTTAGGGATTCGGGGAGGAGGGTTTAGGGTTTAGGGCTTTGCGTTTAAGGTTTAGGGTTCAGGGCTCAGGGTTCAGGGTTAGGGTCTATGGTTTAGGGTGCAGGGTTACGGACTAGGATTTTGGACTTTGGCTTGCGACCTGCCAGTGAGGAAAAAGCACTCCCGTAATCTCAACCGTTTGTGTTTGAGGGTTTGGGGTCTTAGGTTTCACAGGCTTTGTAAGCCTCATCGGAAAACTCGGGCGCAGTGCCACAACGGGCGAAAGGACCGCATGTGCGATTTGACGGGCCAGGAGAAGGCTTGACCTGCTTCTGTTCATGATCTTCTTAGAGTGGCCCAGAAACCCTTAAATGCCTAAATCCCTGAAATCCTACGCCCTAATCATCCTAATCCCTCTAAACCTTGAGTCCGAAACCCGACGCTCCAAACGCTAAACCCTACTTCTGAAGAATCCAAGGCCTCTGCATCACAACACTTCGATGCTGGACCCTACAAGCACCACACGAAGCCGAAAGCCACCTCCGCCAGAAGCCCATCAGGGTGCTCCGGACAGCAGCTATCATCTAGCTTGATGAATGGCAATCATGAGAACCGTCTGGTAGGATTCTTTGCCCACCATAATTACCCTGACACCCCGGGCTTCATATGACAACCCCCTCAATGCAAGCTATTGCTTTTCTTCTTAGCTTTTTGAGGTGCAGGGGCTTGACAGCCTAGCTTGCAAGGCTTAGTAGGGTTTTGTATCAAAAAACCCTTCAGAGATCAGGCGGCCCCTTGCCATTCGCCCGCTTTCTCGAAGCAGCTCAAGCCGCCTCGGCAGGCTTTGGGTGCATGATTCGAGGCTTTAAGGTTTAGGTATTTTTTGTGACTTTCGGGCTTGGGTTTTGAGAATTCTTCCTCCCTACTCAGTCTCCCTACTCAGTCTCCCTACTCAGTCTGTTTCACATGCCGCGCTATAAATATCGCACATGCTTTTTCTTGGTTACTTCTATTTGTGTTTCTGGGATATTCATGATATGATTTCGTATATGAAGTTGTAGTGCATGAAGCCCTCTTCATACATGTATATATGTATGTATGTATCCACGCACGTACATGTATTCGTACATGTATTCATACACATACATGCATGCATGCATACATACAATTGCACGGGTCGATGCTTGCATGTATCTACATATCAATGTACATATGCACAAGCAATTACAGCAACATCGTACGACATGGGGCTTCACCAGCTCCCTTCCCGATAGGTCCTCTCGATAAGACATTGCTTGCTGAGGTATTACTACAATATACGATGATACACGACATCATACAATGATAGATTATAATGGGCTATAACATGCTATAGAGTACTGCAGCATGTGCCCAGCAGCTGTTGACCACCACAATGTCCTCCGGCCGGGCTCGCCAGCGCAGCTCCTGATGTCATAGGATGCCACTCCACTTGATAACCTCATCCCGGAACCCTAAACCCCCAAAAGTGAACATAAAAGCTGAAAGCTGATCCTCAAAACCCCATGAACTCGCACTAGTAAGATCCAGAAGCCGACCAAAAGCAAAGGCGAGCCTGGCCTCCAGAAGGTGCTGGCCATCAGCCCATCGAGCAGCGGCCGTGATGCCAATGAACACAGAGCTATAGCTCTTGATATCCACCTGTGGCTTCAGGCTCGAATTGGTTTACTAATGACTGTCTTCTTGTACGGCTCGACTGACAAAGCGGCTTCATATCGCAGTCAGCAAAGCAAAGAACTAAACCCAGACCTGTGCAACAATGCATGGCGAATGTAACAATGAGTCATAGGAGAGGACCTTCGAATCTAGAGAAGTCTGCAAGAATCGCGATGCCTCCACGCGGTCGCGCCAGAGGAAACTCAGCAGCACCTATCTGCAACGCTCACACTTGTCAGCTCCCTTCCCCCTCCTGTGATTTTCTCAAAAACGGGTTCCTTTAAAGACGTCTTGTAGACCCACTTCTATAAAATTGACGTGACGGCTCAGGATTTAGACACGGTTCGATTGTTTTTGGAGGGCTTCGGCACTTCAAGGAATACGTAGGGCTTAAGGTTTAAACTTGATGGTGTGTGGGTGTGTGTACCTACTGTACAGGACATTGCGTCACCGTCCACTGCCATTCAGCACTATTCACCGGTGTGCATTGCCACGTGCATTCAGTCAAAGCTTCTGGATAAAGGCATGGGCATGTGCACAGATACCACTTTATGTTGCCCTTGTATCAAAATACTGGCATATAGCTCAACCTTTTTTCCCTAGCCCTAAACCCTAAAGTTTAGGGTGTAGGGTTAGGGAAAAAACCGGGGTCCTAAAAGCCCTAAGCCCTTTCAGGTGGCACCAGCGGCTGGCTCCACAAGCCGCCGCGGCTGACGCCTGCCATTGCAGCGCTTCGCACGACCTGCGGCCACAGATACGTCGGGCTTGGCGGCTTCACGCATAATGTGGTTTCTGAGAGTAGAGTATAGTAGATGATAGTATACTCTAGCATGTTACAGTGTATTACAGTAGAGTATGGTCTTTTCTAGCTATAGCATGTTATAGTATATTATAGTAACATAAATAGTATCTTGTAGTATATCTTAGTATATTCTAGTATATTCTAGTATCTGGTCATGCTCGTGTGAAAACTATTTGCAGGGCTACACCGAGACTCATGCTGCTCCTGCTCCATGTGGCTAGCACTAATACAACGTAGGTTGTCGCGAGAATAACTGTTTCTGTCACTGCTTCCATCGTTACGGTTGCTTCTGCAACGATGGCCTTTGCGACTGCCAGAATCTCCAACAATCGAACTGCACCCTCTCGCACTCTGTTTTGCATTATGCCAGGTCCGAGTCTCCGCGGAACAGGCCCTTGCCGGAGACGGCATGGCAAGGCTACTCACGGTTCACGGTCTCCGCGAGTCACCTGCCCTCCACAGAGGAGATTCCGCCAGCGTACGACACCCAATGTCGGCCGCGGCGTAGGGCCAGCTTGATGCCCTCCGGGCCCCTCAAAGGGATTCCATGTTCCTCCGCATAGGCCTGGAGGATCTCGCGAACCTCCGTTTTGTCCTGTTCAGTCACGGAGTTGCGGTCTTGCAGCTCCCACCTAAAACAAGTTGACTCCTCGCCAACGAACTGCCACGGTGTGCCTGCATTGACCTGAAAAGCCACCTGTTCGCCAGTCGCTGCTGTTGCCGGAAGCTCTTCCGGGTGTTCTAACGCTTCTGGAATCGGCACCGAGCCCTTCTCTCTCGTCTTGCCTCCAACCTTGCCACCAGCTTTGACACCCCCATTGGCCCCATTGCTGAAGCCGTTGGGTTTTTTACCTTTTCCGCCAAGGGTCACCTTGCCGTTGGGCTTTCCGTAGCCCTTCCCGGCCTGAATAGCCAGAATTCTCTGTTGGCACCTTCCTGTTAAGGTTTGTAAGACGCCTGGTGACAACTGATCCGCCACCTCCACCAGCTCCTCCGGAGACAAAGAGTTCAGGAGCTCCGCGGCCTCCTTCGTACCCATGGCTGAGGCGGTGTCGGCCGTCAGGGGCTGAAAGGAATCGGGTGAGCTTGAGGATCTTATTGCAGCTATCACATACCAGATTACTGCAACATGCCGGGGCCCATGCTGTGAGGAGGGCCTATGCTGTAAAGCCAAAACGGTCTGCACTGTCAACGGGCGTAGCTGTTGCTACACATGCGGATCTAAAGCGGCACTTTCTCATTAGAAGCTGGCTTGGGGGTTACATGACAGTTGTGCAGCATATTTTTGTTGTCCCTCTTACAAACTATTGTGCATCGGTTTAAAATTGAAATAGCTCAATTCTGGTTTAATCCTTCTGTATGATCGTCAGCGTAAACCCAAAACCCTAAACCTAAACCCTAAACCCCCTGAGCCATANNTAAACCCTGAACCCTAAACTGCTAAATCTAGGCCGCTCAATTGGCTTCAGATTTGAAAGGCCTGGTCCGGCTGCAGGCCGCGGAAGGTCAAGTCATCCTCCAGGATTAAAGCAGACTTTAAGCCTACTACAGTCTACGATAGTCTACGGTAGTCTACGATAGTCTGTTCATACATTACAGTTGGGCTATAGCATAAGATGTCACAAAATACCGTGACGTACCACATGATCCTGCATGGTATACTGTATATTAAATTATGCAAGAAGTGACTGAATAGTTTGTAATCACGTTCCGTTCTGTTTAATGGTTCTGCTTGGTTTTTTCCGAGCATGATCTTCGGACCGAGCATGATCTTCGCAGGCCGGTGAGATTCTATGGGGTCAGGGGTTCTGGAGTTCTGCGGCAGGGCTTTTGTCGGGGGCCCTTCCACGAGTCTTCTCCGTCCACCATCTCTCTGCGTGCGAGCGGCTCACCCCTCGAAGCTTCGGGGTTCAAGGTTTCTGGATTAAGCCCAAGCTCTTATCGGCTTATCGGTGCATGAGGTCTGCTCCCAAGGCTTTTCAGTGCATGTTTCACTTGTCCGTGAGCTGTAGGCTCGGTTGATGTAAGCCGTTGGCTGGCGTCTAGGGTGAATGTAGCTGTAGCGCTTGGGAAGCTTGGTATTTCTCAACCTCACTGCCCAAGAGTGAAGCATTGGATGACACACCTGGGTCCTATCAAAGCCAAGACGACAGCCACTGCTACCACTACTTCATGCAGCAGTAGCAGCAGCATTGGCACACTCAGGAGGACTCGCAATACCGGTGGTAGTCATGGCAGTGGCGGCATGCGCAGCAGCGAGAGTACTTGTCGTAGCCGGGGGGGGGGGGGGGGGG